TCCCACTCCCCTTGGCCCACTGCCACCATGTACGAAGGCTGGGCCCCGACACATCAGTGGGAAGTCTGGCTGGGCCCAGTTTGGCAGGGGGCACAGAACCGTGCTGAATACAGCCTTTGGGAAACTGGCAGTTCTTACTCTGTGAAGAAAGGGTGTTTCTGTCCCCATGGCCCTGCCACCCTGCCTTTCCTGGCAGCCACACCTGTTTTGTCCTTCTCCCTAGACCCAGCCAGATGTCTCTCCCAGAGTGACAGCAGCAAATGGGGACATCTACAGAAGCTCCCTCTTCAGCCTGACAAAAGATCTCAGGACCTGGCCCAGGCCTGCAGGGGAGGGTGAGTGGGGAGGGGGCTGGTAGGACCTCCAAGCGAGGTGGACAGCTGTGGCCCGTGTGGCCCTGCCCCAGGACAGGTGGAGTGAATGTGAACTGAGGAGGCGGGTCCCCTGGGGTTTCAACAGTCAAAGTGAAGACAGTGCAGGGACTTCTCAGCACACAGTGTCTTCATAACTGGGTGGTTTTCAGTTCTTTGCTTCTTCAGAAAGGACCTAGCGAAAAGGGATGGGGAGAAGGCACAGCTGGCAGAGGGATGCCCCTGTTCAGGCTGGGTGGGCAGCACTGTGGAAAGGCATGGTGGAAGGACACAAAGATCAGGGGCTGGAGACTAGCCTAGACGGAACCTCCAGACCAGACATTGAGTCAACGTTGGAAAAAAATCTCTTTGGGCAGAGACTAGTAGAGGGTCACTCAGAGGCCAGAGGGGTCTTTTCAGGGCAAAAGAAAATCTTGCCTGGAACTACATTCTTGAAAGGAGGAGGTCATTTTGGGAGGAGATATAGAGTAAAATAGTAAATATAATAACAAGTATAACCTCGTATCAGCATACAGCATAATAGGCTTATAGAGTGGTTTTCTATCCTTCTGATTCTTTTAGACCCCTAGAAAGTGGGTGTTCTTTCATTGTTCATGTCACAAATACATAGGATGCTTCTGTAATGGGCCAAAAATGTGAGGCTCAGAGAAGGTAAGCGACAACTTTGCTGAGTCACACGGTCGGTTAGCGTTGGTTTAGGTGGACCCCCAACTTAGTCCTGTTTCCTGTTCTTCCACACCCTGTCTTTCTTCTGTAGCTGTAAGTATTGAGGTCCTAGAAGTGGTATCTTTATTCTGAAAAGAGAAATGACAGTAGGGACATTAGAAAATAGGGAACATGAGGACTAGGGCAATGTGGGCCTGTGAGGCCCTCTGCAGTATTTGTCTCCCAAGTCCCCACGTTCTGGGGAAAGCTCGTTGTCCACTTAAACACACCACATGTGCTGGCCTTGATGGAAGTGTCCTGACAGAGAAGGGACCATGAAAAAAGAACAGGAAAGCAGGTAAGGGCTTGCGGGAACAAAACTGCTGGTGGGACGGCAGCCATGAGTTAATAGAAGCAAGCAGGTGGGCATTGAGACCCTGGCTTCCAGGGAAGCCTTTCCCTCCTTCATAATTTTTTCTTTTCTTTCTTTTTTCTTTTCTTTTCTTTTTCTTTCTTTCTTTCTTTCTTTCTTTCTTTTTTTTTTTTTTTTTAGAGATTTTTGCTATAGGGCATATGCACTTGCCAAGAGAGACAGTAAGACAGAAATCAAGAAATCACTTCCCAGGTGGGTTGGCCACACCGCAGTCCCTTCTCCTCCATTCTCCTCTTGGGATTTTGGGCACATACACATGTGCCCAGCATGAGTTTTAAGCCACTGGGTCCAGGACTCGAACTGTAGTCGACTCTGTGAGAGTCCAGCGACATAGCTATTATGCCATTTGCTGGTCCTCATAACAGCTTTATTGAGACATAATTCGCCCACTGTAAAATTCACCCCTGGAAGAATTTAATGGTCTGGACCCTAGTGGTGACCACTCAGGGCAATAAAGGACCACTGAGAGCAGAGTCTGGAGAACTGATGTAGTCCCAGGAAGCCTCTAATGCCGTTTGCTCATTGGGCCACACAAAGTTTGGGATCCTGTCTAGGGTGCTTTGCTTTGGAAGTGTTCCTTTCTCCTCGGACACATTGCTTGGGAACCAGAGCTCTGTGCACCCCTTTCCTGCAGTTTGTAAAGAAGGTGGATGGAGAAAGCCCCACGCTCTGGGGAAGCTCTCTGGAACACCTCCCCAGTCCCCAAAGGTCATCCTTCTTGGTTGCCCAGACACTTGTAGGAGGGGCTGGAGATTCTAAATGAAAACTTTCACTTCACATGTCAGTGATTCTGCACCGTCATACCTGCAGCAAAATGACCTCCAGGGCTTTCTTGGAAGGGCTTCTGCTGCTTCCTCAGCTGCCCGCCGTGAGAGGTAGACTTCGCCTCCTGCCAACCTGGGGCTACTTGGAATATTCTTGAGCCCTCCTCCCCTGCACACCCATGTGCCCTTTCCCCTCTCTCCTCCTCTCTGAGAGGACCCACTTTTGGAGTTTAGTTGATGTGCTGCTTCAGGGTGAGCAGGCTTCCCCCGGCGCATTGACTTCTCTGTTTCTTGTGTATCCTGTCACTGGCTGCTACTCACTGAGCTGCTTCCTGGGCAACCTCATAGCCTGGTGTGGGACAGGGAGGAAGTCCTGGCAGGACAAGGCTGAGGAGTGCCCTCTGGAGTGTCTCCCACGTGTTCCCTGGAGATTGGGTCTGGGCTCCATGGTGGCAGGCTCTTCTAGGAATGTGCTCCCCAGCAGTGTTTTCTAGTTGGTTGGGAATGTCCCTGGGCTGGTCTGTACTATCTCTCAGGGGTTCCTTCTGGGCTGGCCTAAGGCCAGTTGCAGGGCTGAGCCCTCAGAGAGGTAGGATGGCCACAGGCCTTCAAAGGAACTTGGCAGCAGTGGGCCCTGTAGACCAGGTGGCTTTGTTTTTGCTTCTCTCACTTAGATGAGTTATCAGTGGGAGGGAAGATACCAGGCACATGGAAGAAGTGGTAAGGCTTTACACTGAACCCCTGCCAGGAGTGCTGAGAACAGCCTCTGCTGAGGGTCTGTGTGCCTGAGCACGCCCGTCCCTCCACTGCTCACTCCCTCTCTCTGTGAGAGATTGGAGGAACAGAGAGGTGACAGAGGATTGCCTTCCCTGTGACCTTGTCACTTAACCTCTCTGAACCTCACTGTTCTCACCCATAGAATGAGGAGGATAAAATGCTCATGTTAAGTAGGCTGTATCAGGAAATGTGAGAATCAGCAGGAACAACACTGTCCTAGTTGTTGTTAAATCTGGAGCCTGGGCCATTCTCCCTCCAGGGATTTCCCTGGCTCCTCCATTCACTTTTTTGCACTCACAGAGTCATGGAGCTCAAACTGAGAGAGATTTCAAGAGGTCGTCTGGTCCAGTGCCCTGGCATAATTATCTGAATTTGTAGATAAGATTGCTTTAAGCGGTCATTACTTGGACATGTCTGTCATAACATGGGACAAATAAGCCCTTTTCCTCTTGGTGAGGTGTGACCTCCAGGTGCACCCAGGTGCTCTAGCCTGCAGAGGGGCAGAAGAGGACAGGAAAGCCATACCCCTTAGGAGCAAGGGTACGTTCTGCAAGGCTTCTAGGCAGGCCTGCAGTTGCTGGAGGGTGGGGCTGGGGGGCTCTGGCTGGCAGGCTCAGGGATGTGTGTGAATCATATTCCGAGGGGTGCACCCCATTCTGAGGACTTACCACAGGGAAAAAGCGGCTGCCAGGACACGTTGTCTTCTTCAGTGGGTTTTCCTTCAAAGAAAACCCTCTCATTGGGGCCCATCTCTTTGGAAAACAAACAAAACCCAGGGCTCCCTATTCTGGACTATCCCCTGGTTGTGGAGCTTCACTGAAGGCAGGGGGCAGCAAGAATCTCCTGAGCCAAAGAAATGTGTCCCATGCTCCCAGTCAGGCAAGGAAGCATCAGGACTTGGACTAGAAAATGGATCAGAGATTTAGGGAAGGTAGGGGACAAGGTGGGGGCATGGAACGAATAGCTGCCCAATGTGGGTGCTGGCCTGGGTTGCAAGAATTAAACCCCAGAGCTTTTCAGCCCCTAAGTAATGGAGATGTGAGTCCTTTACCGCGCTGAGGTCCTTTCTTAATAACCCTTACACCACCAGGATGCTGGTGATCCAGAAAGTGAAACTTGGGGAGATTGTTAATAGGGTGCTTTGGACTGGATTGTGCATGATTTACCGTATCCCAAACCGGAGGGAGTTCTCTTTGTGAAAGAAAGCGACTTGTCCCCTCCCCAACATCACACACACACACTGGCTGGCAGGCTCAGGGATGTGTGTGAATCATATTCCGAGGGGTGCACCCCATTCTGAGGACTTACCACAGGGAAAAAGCGGCTGCCAGGACACGTTGTCTTCTTCAGTGGGTTTTCCTTCAAAGAAAACCCTCTCATTGGGGCCCATCTCTTTGGAAAACAAACAAAACCCAGGGCTCCCTATTCTGGACTATCCCCTGGTTGTGGAGCTTCACTGAAGGCAGGGGGCAGCAAGAATCTCCTGAGCCAAAGAAATGTGTCCCATGCTCCCAGTCAGGCAAGGAAGCATCAGGACTTGGACTAGAAAATGGATCAGAGATTTAGGGAAGGTAGGGGACAAGGTGGGGGCATGGAACGAATAGCTGCCCAATGTGGGTGCTGGCCTGGGTTGCAAGAATTAAACCCCAGAGCTTTTCAGCCCCTAAGTAATGGAGATGTGAGTCCTTTACCGCGCTGAGGTCCTTTCTTAATAACCCTTACACCACCAGGATGCTGGTGATCCAGAAAGTGAAACTTGGGGAGATTGTTAATAGGGTGCTTTGGACTGGATTGTGCATGATTTACCGTATCCCAAACCGGAGGGAGTTCTCTTTGTGAAAGAAAGCGACTTGTGCCCTCCCCAACATCACACACACACACACACACACACACACACACTTTCCTGGCAGGCTCGATGGGTTTCCAAACATTTCGTCACCGTCTCCTGCTGACCTTGGTTGAAGAGAACGAGCCTCGTGGCCTGTTGGTTCCAGCAGAGCCATCGGGGGCGCCGGCCTGTGCTGGGGGAGGGTGGCGACTGACTCGGAGTGGAGGTGAGGTCTGCTGGAAATCCCCAGCCCCGGCAGCCGCCTGAGGTTTGAAGACGCCTTCCCCGGCCTTATTTGGTCGCAGGAAGTGGGCGGCGCCGGGCCTGCAGGCTGGGAGGCCGGCCGGGACAGTTGTGCTGATGAAGTGGTAGAGCTGGTTCCTGCTCGCCGCCGTGCCGCGCGCGCCGGCCGGCCGCTGGGCGCTCCGCGCTCCCAGCCTCGAGTTGTGCAATCCTTTGTAGCACGCCAGAGAGTCCTTCGCTGTTGCCTCTCGCCCTCTCTCTCTCTCTTTTTTTTTTTTCAAGCTGTGAGCTCAACCGATGAGTCAGAGCCGTGCAATCCTGACACTGCATCGCAGGACTGGGGGTGACACGGAGGGAGGGAGAGCGCTTGCGAGGCGGACAGCAAGGGTGCGGGGTGCGCCGAGGCTCCTGCGCCGCGAACGAGGGGTGACAGCCCGCGCGTCCCGCCCAGGCCTTGCCAGCAAACTTCCCAGCCTTGGGAGGCGCGGGCTGACGGAAGCCTAGCGAGCGCCGCGGAGAGGCGACGGCGCCTGTTTGTTTTTAAAATCGGGGAGTGCGTGCAGACGGCCGAAGTCCCGGAGGCGACTGAAGGCGGCGGCCCGCGGCAGAAGGGGGACAGCCGAGGCCGGGGCTCCGGCCGGAGCCGGGGAAGTGGGG